TAGCAACACGGGCATGGAGACCTTCGCAGCTAACGATGTGGCAACGAGTTGCACGCCGCGCCTTCACGGTTCCTAACAAGAGCTGTCGAACGCTCCGTCACACGGGTTGTGCATGTGTTAACACCCGACAACCAAGGGCGACTGACCTGCCATGCACCACCTCCCCGCCCGCTCAAAACTGTCGAACCGAATCCTTCGTCCCACCTTCCGGACCGAGCATGCACACCATCGTCTACGTTCTCCTTAGGCCAACCCAAAAATGATGATGGGATGAAAGCCAGCACCTTCTCACACATTCTGCCCTCGCCATGGCTGTAAACACTTTGAAGTTGTGCCACGCGTGGACGTGTATGCCACGTTGCGTTTGTGACACAATGGCTGGCCTGAGGGAGACCGAACGTTGGATTCGAGAGACGAAGCAACCGACCCCCCCACAATGTGCGTGCAACGTTCACAAATGACCCGTACATGGCCACGGAGGCTGGCATTCGCCGCAATCTGTATGCAAACAGCGGAAGAAGGACATGGGGTTCTGCATGCAGCCAACCTACGTGCTTGTTGTAGCGATCCGGAGGCGGGCAAAAAAAAATCGAAATCGCAGGGCCGTTGGGGCACGGGAGAAATTCAAAATGAAAAATGACGAGGACCTCCCCACCCCACAAGGTGCCACGGTCCAGGGCCCAACGGTCAACATGTGAGAACAACCCTTGTCCGGCCTCAGGCCCACTGGACCAAACACTAGACCACATGTCCGCTTTGCAGGCGTCTGACTTCCGTCCGAATGTGCCGGAGTACGCACCCAATAGGTAGGTAAACGGACCGACTTTTGGAAAACGGGAATTCAGGGCCACGTAGGAATAAGGGGGTCACGGCCCGAGTGGAAACGGTCGGCAGAGGACTTCCGCAACGCCAAAATCCGTCTGTGGGATCTCGGAAGTTGCCTCGCAACTTCCGAAATCGTTTGCTGCCGTCCTGTGGGGTCCTACCCTTAGACTAGACAAACCTCTCGAAAATGTGCGTCGAGTGCTGTCAGAAAATGCTCCAAACGCACACTCTCGACTCCTCTAGAGTGCCCCAACCTGCAACATCTATTTCCTGGGTCCTCCGTTTTGGTATTAGTGCCAAAATTCGCGAGTGTACCGCAAGTCTGGGTGGACAAACCAGGCTGGCGATGTCACCTTGTGGAATGGGACGAACCAGACTGGACTCTCGACTATTTGACTGTCTGTCTAGAGTAGCACCCTCTAGTGTAAGTGGAGCAAGGCCGACCTTTTTTATGTTTTCTAGAGTTGTGGGATCAGTTGCATATGTGTTCAGTGGTACTCCAACGTGAGTTTGAGGCAGTTTGGGGCTTGCCACACAGGTTTTCGAAACGCGCAAAATCAAGGCCGTGGGCCTCGCTGCACTACTCTAGACTCTCAAAATATTTCGAGAGTTCGACTAGCATTGTCAGAAAGGCGAGACTCTCAAAATACCCGCCTTCGCTGCACTTACTCTAGAACCTGTTACACTAGACGAACTCTCGAAACCCAAGGCGTCGTCCTACTCGACAGAAGAGCTGCACCACTGTGCTTTGCCGGCTACGGGACAAAGTCTGGCCGCCGGGACAAGATGTCCACTCTTGAAAAACGAGCCTGTCGGTGGGCAACTCCCGAGGACACTTGCAAATTCGGTTTTTGCAGGTGGGCGACTCTCTACGTTTGGAGAGTGGCGTTATAGCGTGGCTTCTGACAACTCTCGATTGGGTTTCGAGAGTTTCCCGATTGAGAGTAAGTACAGCGAAGACTCACTCTCAAAACTTCGAGAGTCTAGAGTAGTGCAGCGAGGCCCCATGTCTTCGCCACACAGCCTTTCGAAACAAGTTCTTTCGAAAAAGTTTCGAAAGGTGTCAGATTGGCTGGCGTCGAAAGTCATTTCGAAGAGATGAGATCCTCCCGCCTGTCACGAGCGTTTCCTCGAAATACCTGGAGTGGTCTTGCGAAAAGGCCCACTCGTTGATCGGTCGGAAATAAAAAAACAAAAAAAAATGGGCGATTCCAAGGGTCTGGCTCCACTACTCTCTACATGCACAAACGACAAAAAATATGGTGAAGTATTTTTCCATGTTTTAGGCAAAGATTCAGACTCTCGTTTTACACGCGTAGTGAGCAGTGGAGCCATACCCTAATGTGCATATATCGAAAGGCCTGGGTGTTTCGAAAGTCTGTGGCAAAGTTTTTTTTTTTTTTTTTTTTTTTTTCCTTCTCAAATACCATTCGTATTAAAAACAAAGCGAACCGAGGCCGGGAACCTCACAATTCAACCCAAAATTATCCTGGCAGCATTAACCAGCCTCGTTTATAAGCCTGGCAAAACCGGAACCGAAGTCTAATACCAACACCAAGCAATCTCTCTCCTTTTTTGTTACCCAATTTTGCGAACGACCCAATACAGTTTGTGAATTGGTCAAGAACTATTGCTAATCTATAAAGTAAATCCTGCCTAACGAACTCAACCTATCTAATTCACCAGAGTTTCCACGGCAGACGCTGGGTTACCAATCAAGTCAACGACCGGACCGAAATCAACACAAGAAAACAAATTCAAGCTCCGAGATAAATTCGCCGCCCTGGCTCTTCCCTTTCCTACAAGCAAGAGGCGTGTGCTAAAGTGCACACTATAACCAGTGATAGACGGGAGCGGGGATTTGGCCTATAAAACCCGTCAGACACAAAATGTAAGAAATGTAGTAACTTAGTAAGCCCACTTCTAAGTTCTAGCTCCTAGAAGAGTCATGCTGAAATCCAAATAAGAACAGGCTTGGATCAGGCTTACCAACTCGGCCACCCGCAGAGAGCCCGAGCTACGGAATACACTCCCACGCTCACACACCAAGGGCACTGATATTCCCCATGTTATAATTGCCACTAAGAGGAGGGAGGAAACCCTAAAACATGAAAAATATGTTGTTATTGCTTACAAACCAAGTATTGAAACTATGTCAAACGAAATTTCACTGACAACTGAAACTTATGAAGGTAGACCAAAAAACGACTGAAAATACCCAAGAATAAGACTAAGGACAGAGTAACTCGAAAGTCATGGAGAAGAAAATGGAATGTAATTTCAAATTTGAGGTAAATAAAGGTCAGGATAAGAGTAGTCGATGTAAGTGAAGTGTGAGTGTCTCCATGTATGCTGGTGCGGTTTCACCCAGTTGACCAAACAGCCCGTGCCCGTCGCCCTGTAGGTCCTGTCTTCACGCTCCCAGTTGAGTAGTCATTAGTACTCTGTACATACTCCTCAGAACAACAGTGCCATCACTGCCAGTTACCCGCCCACTACTCCTGGAAGTGCCGCTGTCTGACTCACTGTTCGCAAACTACTAGAGCCTCTCTCCCTTCTTCGTGCAGTTTGCCATGTATTTAACCCATAAATGGGAATAATACCGCAGTAGATAACACTTGAATTTTGGAGGTTGAAGGTCGTAGGAGGGACGGGAACCACCCTGCTCCTTGATATTCCACACAGAGACACAGCCCGTTATCAAGGCTGAGGGTGGTGGCCAAACCTAGAGAGTACCGAGTACTCCATAGCTCCGCCCCCACACCCCGAATCCCGTGCCTTGCTGCCGATGCAGAGCGCCGTCATCTCCGAATGGCGATACCATCGGTAGCGCAGCGCTTCAACGGGGCGCTGTCCCCCTCCACGCTCCTTTCAAAATTTTCTAAATATTATCATGTACGTTTTTCATGAAGCCACTCATTAGGAGTATTTTAGCAAGAAAAATGGCTACCTTCTTAACCCGAAAAAGACGTATGTACCTTGTATACGAATACAACGTACGGGGTACGTTGTATTCGAATACAACGTACGTACGTTATAGAACGAGTTTGAGGGTACGGCTTTTCAGAAGTCTGTAGTACCACCATTGTTTTTATTTTTATCTCAAATTTGGTTGGGAATTTCGCCAAGACCCTCAGGCAAAAGTTGTTTGCATTTCAATGTTGTACAACATACTTTTGTTTCAGATTTTTTACTGAATTTGTTTTTGAATCGAAATTATGAAAAAATCAGTAAAAAACATTTCCATCCTCGTTTTTATTTTTTTTCTCGAATTTTCTCGTGAATTACAATAAGACCCTCAGGCAAACGTTGTTTGTATTGCATTATTGTATAACATTTTATTTTTTTCGGATTTTTTTTTTTTTTTTTGAAAAATCGAAGTTCCAAAAATCTGAATACAACATACATACGTTGTATTTGAATACAATGTATGTACGTTACATTCGAACATACGTCCTATTCGGGGGAAAACAAGCGATTTCTGAAAACCCGATTTCCAGAGGTAATTCGAATAGAACGTACGAATGTTTTTTTCGGATTAACAGGGTAGGTTGATGTACTCTAAATATTTCGTGTAAGAGAGTGTCTTGGTTAGTGCGCAGCGCCCTTGATTGCAACGAAGATGCTCCCACTACCACCAGAGGAACTCCCACTCCCATTGGTGGCACTGCTACTCGTCGAGCTTCGGGTCTTTCACGCTCCCAGTCGAGATAGTTAACAGTAGTTCTCACCTGCTCCTCCCAACACCAGTCCCACTATCACCGGCTTCCCACCCACTGCCTCCAGAGGTGCCACTGCTGGATGTGGCCGCTGTCTCCTACTAGACAGACCCACCCACTGCCTCCAGAGGTGCCACTGCTGGATGTGGTCGCTGTCTCTTACTAGACTCTCTCTCCCTTTGTAGTGTTCACACTGCCACGAGTTTCATTATTTGAATCTTGTACATTGTCTGTTGTAGGAGGAACCCGAATAGCATTGTCCCGTCATAAGTACCCAAGCCTCGCCCCCCACCTCAATTTTCATCCAAGCCCACCTTTCCCACAGATCCGCCTCCGCGTCTATGGCCAACGCTTGTAAATCCCGGTGCAGCAAGATGCCTACCCCTCCCCGTGTCCTCTGAGCTGGTGCCCACACATGTGGCCCCTCCCACCAACTCTCTATGCTTTTCAGCTTTTCTTCGTTTAACTTCGATTCCTGCAGCATCACATAGTTCACCCTCTGCTCGTGCACCCAAGACTTCAATCTTCTCTTTTTCATCCTCCCGTTCATATCCCCGAGCCCCTGCATATTCCACATTGCAATTTTAATTTTATTCATTCTCCTCTACTGTCTCCGCCTGTTTTTGGATTTGCAGTGTGGTCAACTGCGTTCTTCGTTGAGAATGGGACAGGTGCCCTATTCTCCCTAATTCTCTCGACTGCTGCCCGGAGCTTCCTCTAGATGAGCTGACTCTTGAGGAGGACCGCCAGTCCTCAATCAGAGTTTTGGTTAAGAATGATGAGTGGAAGTTTTCCTCCTCCACTAATTTCTCATTTGCATTGACGAGCACTAATGCAGATACCCCTGGCAGCACTTGTATCCCTTTGAGCTCTTGCATGTTTCTTTCCCTGAGTAGGTCCATGTGAAAACGCCTCACTCCTGTCTGGTTCAACGCTTCTATTGCTTCAGGGGGTATCCAGGCGTCCAGTAACGGGAAATACGGCTTGTTGTAGCCTTGAACTGTTTCCACTATTACGCTTGCCATTGACGATCGAGGGATGAGACAAACTGGGACATGTGTCCCATACAGTCTCCTCACTGTCTCAATGATCATTGCCGGAGTAGGGGACCTGTCCACCACCGAGGATGGGATCTGCGGTACCCCCTCGTTACTTGTCAGAGCCAGGAAGAAGGTCCCTTCCTCCAATCTTGTGCAGAGGATCGGTACTAGGCATCTTTTCACCGCTTCCATCTGGTTCCTTCCCAATGCTTCGGCACGCCTGCCCTTGTCTATTACTCTCCTGCTATCCTCATCTCGACCTCCCTGCATTCTGAGGCCTGCGGCTGCTGAGTTGTCCATCGAGGAAGACTTTTCTGATTTGTCATCGCCATGGTCCTCAGCGTAGCATTCACTTCCCCACCGTACTTTCGATTGAGAGGACTCTGGGGTCCTTGGGAGGTCTCCCTGCGTTCTTTCTGCTTTTCTTGGATATCCTGCATCGCCCCATTGCTTGTGGCTCCCTTCTTCTTCTCTGATCCCTGGGCCCTCGGCCACAGCATTACCGCGCCACGGTTGTTTTGTGTTCCCTTTGTTCCTCCARCTACCTTCTCTCCCTATGTCCCATCGGTTACTTCCTCTCTKAGTCCGTCTGTTGGAACCTTCTGTTTCTTCTCGTCTTGCAGAGTTGGACCAGGTCATTCCTCTGCCCGCAGCCTGCGAGGCAAAGTTTCTCCAGTCATAGGCTTCCGATGGGTACCCTGGTATAGGGTGCTCGACCTGGAACTGCCTCGTCTGGTGTGGTTCTGAACTGTAGAGCRGAAATCTTCCTCCCCATCCGACATCCTGTTGGTTTGSGTATGGGTCTTGCCACTGCACGTGTGTTTGGTTGTGGTATGGCGGTCTCTCTCCGATGACCCCGAAAAACCCTGTAGGCATGCCAGGGTTCAAATCATTGTTCATCGGCCATCCCTCCCTCGGCCTCCATGGAGGTAGCAGTGAGTGGTCCTGCATGTCTCCCCATCTCTGCATTTTGTGATTCGATTCTTCCTCTTGATTGCTTAGGCCACCTGTCCCGTCTGCCTGCATTTCCTGCCTTGGTCCTTCCGCTTGCCTCGAGTAGTACCGTCCCTCTGAGTTCACTGCTCTCCGCTCTTCCTCAAGCCTTTGGCCAGGCATGTATGGCACTTGACCCCTCTGCCCTCGAGTTGCATCTTGAGATGCATGTGTAGTCCGCTCTCTTTGTCCGTTTGCCCCTGAGGGCTCAGGGTGTCTGACATCGGTTGTCGATTCTACAACTTGTCTCCCTCCCGCTCTGTGTGGTTCCCCTTGGGACGGACGCTCCTGGCCTTCCACTTGCTGTCGGTACCTCTCACTGTGTCCTCCCCTCCTTTCACCATTGCCTCGTTTTCCCTCCTCTGCTTGCCTATGTCTTGKGCAGTTTTCTTCAGTATGGTAGTACCATCGGCAGCGGCGACACCAGTCTGTGTAAGGTGTTACGATGTCTACTGTCCACCGTTCTCCTTMTGGAGATTGGATTACCAGACTGTCGTCGATCCTTGGGCGAGACTCCGGCGGCATGTCAAATTTCACGTTCATAAGTTTGGGGYSGTCCTTGTCATACTCCGGTGGATACATTGAGAGGTCTTCTCCGAACAGCGCTATCACTGCACTTCTCAAGAAGTAGTAAGCGTCTAGTGGCACTCTTAGTGCCATGATCCAAAATTTCGATTCTGCCTCCTSCATCCTCAGATCCTGCATTTCCTTCTTTGAAAGTCTTGGTTTGAAGGTAACTGCGTACTCGTTCTTGTCCTCCAGCTTGATTTTGAGTTCCTTCTGCTGAATCAACCATGTGGCTATGTCCTTGGACTTAGCCACATAGGAGGCGACATTCTGGCTCTCAAACTTCACTCTGCCCCTTCTCACTTCCAGCTGAAACAACTYCTTTGCAGTCCATCCGTCCTCGTATGCTCYGATTAAGTCCTCCTTTACCGCCTGTGACAGGTTTCTGGCTTTTCCCTGGAAGGTCACTATGACTGACCTTTCCTTAAGCCATTGTTCCTTCACTTTGTGAACCACCTCATTTACTACAAAGCGTCTTCCCTTGTTATCTTCCACGACCTTCCCTATGCTCTCGTCGTAGGGGCAGACTCCCTCATCGTAGCATCGGCCTATAGACTCCCCTGCTTTCTCTAGATCGTTTGGTACGTTGGCTGGGCCTGGCCTCGGGGCCTCTCCTTCACCCTGTTTCTCCATCCCATTGTCAGAGCTTTCCTTCTTGCTGTTGTCCGTTTTGTTAACTCTTGAAGGGTGTAAACAGAGCGTATGGTAATTTGGATGAGGTAGATTAATTACAGGAGAAAGTGGTATCGTATCGGTACAGGCGAGTGCAGTATTGGTGATAATTGTCCGTTTTCTCTTCCTATTCCTTTGTGTCCTTCAGTGCCTGGATGTGTGTGTGTGTCGCCTTCCAGGGATCGACCTGATGTTATACCACTTTCTATTTTCTCCCTTTAGGACTATGCATCCGTCTTGTTCCGGTTCTTGTTGCTCCTTCGGAGGTAAATCAAGTGCATYCGCCGTTCTGCCCCTCGATTTGGCAAGGGATCTCTCAAGAACAACTGCGATGCGCGACACCAAAATCACGGTGCAGAACTGGCGTCCTACGCTTGCTCGCATCGAACATACACACCAGAAGCGTTTCGGAACATATGTACTTGACTGTGTTAACGATTGGGTTCTGTCTTCTCACAACAACAGGTCTCCCGAAAACTCACGCTCTAGGTGCCGCATCCACATCGGGCTTCRGAACGCGCACTCTCTGTGCTTGCACTCCGCAAAGTTCAGACKAGAAACTTTYCGGGAYATACGTACGCGACRCACCAGGCTCGGGCTGCAAAACGCTCCCTTTCCGTGTTTTTCTTYGTGCAAATTCCCACCAGAAATTATGCAGAACATATATTCGTGACCGTGTTAACGACTRAGTTCAGTCTTCTCAGCAACAACAGATCTCTCGAGACTACCGTACGGTGCGCGACACACCAAAGTCGGGTTGGAGAACGAGCGCCTTCTGTGCCTACTCCTCGCACAGATCCACAACAGAGACTTTAAAGAGCATGTGTACGTGGCTGTATTCACGACCAGATTMAGTCTTCTAATCAACACAGGCCTCTCGCAGCCCGCATAATATGCGCGACACCCCAATTCTACCGCRACGCTATTGCCGGAAACTTGCCTCCTACGGGACGGATCAAAACCACACCGACTTACCACAGTGAGTGAGATTCGCCATCGCCCATCACCGCATCCCCTATCTGCGGACAWGGCCCTTCAGCCCGAGTTCGACTAGTCACTCCTGTCCCCTTCTTCCACTGCCGCCTGTGTCTCCAATTGAGTCCTCACAGGGAAGCCTAGAGCTGAGATTTTGCCCCAATTTGCTTGAATGCTATCGTATTATGAATTCCCATAATGCCCAWACCGAGCATGACTCTCTTGCACGAAGGAGGTTGCTGATACGGCACCAGAAGCACTCCGGCGTAAATCCACCCTTACCTTGTGATCCCGTAACAAATACTGGAATTCGCTTGCTCCCAATTGCGCCTATATCATCCGATTTACTATGCCTCGCAGGTCTGGTAMCCACCAACTCTTACTGCCAAACGCGGCTCTCTTGTATCGACGAGATTGCTGATTYAGAACAGAAGYYCTCCGTCATAATTCTAACTTTACCTTGCTATCCAACCACGACTCACTTGTACCGAGGAGATCGCTGGTTCGGAGTAGAAACTTCCGCCTTAATTTCAACCTTACCTTGCGATCTCGAARTACATTATGGAAGTTGCTTGCTCCCAATTGCGCCTGTAACCTCCGAGTTACTATGCCTCCCAGGTCTAGTTAACTCCACTCCTCCTTACTTACTTATCCCTAATCGAGGATGTTGTTACCTTCTGCGTMTGCGTCTCTTCCYTGAGCTSTATAGCCTYGACGCATCACTCTGAGAKGGCTACAGGTAAAGGCGTGATTMCTGTTGAGCAGAGTGCAAAATTACCCTCCTGAATGATGGTAGAGTAGGTTGGTCCCCTCATGTCACTCCTCCGAGAGGTGAAAGCGTAACAACGATACAACGGAGTTTCTCTTTTACCATCCTAGCATGGCTATGGAACACTCCGRCAGGGTAGTTTTCACCCGRGCAGGGWAGAATCTGAGTTTACTATTAACCCTCTCAGACTGGTGAAATCACGCCTCCTACCCATCCTTCGCGATGTGTACCTGGCATCACCACGGTGAAGCTCACCTGCTCCTACTCTAGGTCGGCTATGGACTACCAAGGCGGCGCCAGTRCATCACGGTCAGAGCCCCACCCTGGATGGGGAGGTGTGCACGCACCTTCCGATCCCCGTCGCGGTGGCGGAGGTGTCGGCCAGGAAGCGCCGCTTGCTTATGACTTATGACGGTGTATGCGCCGTCGAAGGTCAGAGAGAGAGCGGAGTTCTTTGCRAAGCTAAGGACATTTATACCAAAAGCGGACAAGCTAGTGCTGGTCGGGGACTGGAACGTGTCCTTGGACGAGGCACTGCGCATAGGATCTCACTCAGCAGACAGGGGAGACGTCAGGGCCTGTCTCTTATACACATCTAGATGTGTATAAGAGACAGGTGTGTGTGTGTGTGTGTGTGTGTGTGTGTGTGTGTGTGTGTGTGTGTGTGAGAGAGAGAGAGAGAGAGAGAGAGAGAGAGAGAGAGAGAGAGAGAGCAGTGCTACCAGTCTGAAGACCTGTCTCTTATACACATCTAGATGTGTATAAGAGACAGGTCAGAGAGAGAGCGGAGTTCTTTGCAAAGCTAAGGACATTTATACCAAAAGCGGACAAGCTAGTGCTGGTCGGGGACTGGAACGTGTCCTTGGACGAGGCACTGCGCATAGGATCTCACTCAGCAGACAGGGGAGACGTCAGGGCACTGTTGGAGTCCTGCACGGAACTGACTCTGTCTCTTATACACATCTAGATGTGTATAAGAGACAGGGGGTTGGGCCTCATGGAAAGACGAAGTGCAATAACAATAAGCTCACAGCTTTGAGCAACAGCATAGACAAACATATTATTGTAAACAACATGCAGACTAACCTGTCACAACGTGATTGGATTATAATTGATTCGGTTCCCATTGTCATCTACTGAATAGTAATCAATGAGTACTGTAACAGCGTACAAGGTGTACAGTAGACTACATTGCAACTAATAGACAGTACACAGTGTGTACAGTAGACTGCATTGCAACTAATAGCCAGTACAGTGTACAAGGTGTACAGTAGACTACATTCCAACTAATAGACAGTACACAGTGTGTACAGTAGACTGCATTGCAAATAATAGCCAGTACAGTGTGCATTGTAAATGCATGGACACTCATTCGGATTAATTGATTGCTGGCCAGGCAACAGCCCGCTACAGTATAACCGTCAGCTGGTACAGACGTCATGGTAACTGCACATAGGTTCAGTAGGTGTGCGGGCAGATGACAGCCCACCTCACCACACCCACATGTGCRCTAGTTTCTCACCATTAGACTGATTTCACATGCTCATAAGGTGACTCTCAACTGTGTAACTACAATTCAAATGTGCTTTACAGGGACGCTGGACCCGATTTCGAGCAGGTGTTGCTCCTTATATCAGCATCCCTTGCAGTCGCCCACGCTGTTTGTATGGGGGGGAAAAAAAAAAAAAAAAAAAAAAAAAGGAACCTCGGTTGGACCAGTGCAGGCCAACCGGGCCCAATACCAGGACACTCGGTTGTATAGAGCCGTAGTAGGCTGTTAGGCGAGTGTCAATAGGACCAGGACCTGACCAGGTCCTCTGGGCCGCGTTAGTCCCAGAAGATAGCTAGGAGGAGGGGACTGGTAGTAAGGAAGAGAGGATCTGAACACGAGGTTGCGGCTCGGTTTCATCAAGAGGCTATCGAGAAAATAGACAGCCAAATTAGAATGGCACAGACCAGGTAAGCACCAGGCAACAGGGCCTAAAGGCCCGACCTTGGGGGATAACAGGCCGAAAGGCCCGACCTTGGGGGATAACAGGCCGAAAGGCCACGACTTGGACCCGACTACGGACCAGGCCCAAATGACATTTCGTCTTTGGGCCTGACGGCGCCGTTTGAGGCTGCCGCTCTCCGGTTGGACCTGAATCGTCGATCTGGACGGTTCAGCCCCAACCAAGGCCTCGCAGCAGTGAGGCC